GTTTAAATTTCTTCTTTTTTCTTTTTTTTGTGGGTGGGGGCAGGGGTTCTTTTTGAGACAGGGACTCCCTGTAGCCCCAGCTGGCCTGGAACTCATTATGGAGACCAGGCTGGCTTTGAACTCACAGAGAACTGTCTACCTCTGCCTCCCAAGTGCTGGGATTAAAGGCGTGTGCCACCACATTGGCTTAAGTTTCTTTTTTAAGTGCATTATGGCCCTGTACTGCATGAACTGGTTCTACTTATTCCCCTGTTAGTTTTCTGTTAATGTGACAAAATGCTTGAGATAATCAACTTAAAATGAGAAAAAGTTTATTTTGGTTCACAATTTCAGAAGTTTCTGTCTGTGGTCACTTGGCCCTGTTGCTTTGGTGGGGAGCATGGAGGAAGACACCAGTTTACCTTATGGCATTCAAATAGCAAAAAGAGAAAGACAGGAAGCGGTGGGGTCCCAGTATCCCCTTCAGAGATGCTTCAGTAATATAACTTCCTTTTACTAGCCCCTCCCTTCTAAAGGTTCACTACTTCCTACTAATGGCAAGCTTGCAGCAGATGAGCCTTGAAAGTCACTCGCAATCCAGAGTCTCAGTGGCTCTCAGCTTCATTTCCTATGCTCCAGCCAGGCTGGCTATCTTCCTCATTATGGAGCATGATTTCAGGCCTGCATCTGCCTGGCTGTTGCTTGCTCTGCTTTTCTACCTGTACTTTCCACGGCTGATTCTTCCCTCATTCAGGTGAGGCGTGCTGTGTCTTGACCAACAAATCTAAATTCCTGTGTCTCCATCCCAGGTTCCAGACACATCACTTCATGATTTCAAAGCCCTCGCAGATCTTTCCCTTAAATTGTCCTACCTACTACTTCTTTGTTGGTAGTTTTACTGTCTATCAAGCCTCCACAACAGAATATGAGCTTGGCCCAAAGAGGGGTTGCTTTGGCCTCTGGATCCCAGCATCTAGAGCATGTCCACTAAATACTAAGCCCTTGAAAATAATTTTAGAATCAGCAACTAGCTAGCTAGCTAGCTATCTACTTGCATATTGCATTAAGGAACTGGCATTCAGTTGCCAAGGCTGATCTTTAGGAAATGTGCCCATCCCAGTCAGCCCATGGTGTGCTCTGTTAAGATACTCAAGTCTCTCTGGAGAGATGACAAAGGTTTGGTTCCCAGTGCCCATGTAGGGTGGACCAACACCCTTTTCTGGCCTCTCAGAGCACTGCATACATGTGTGCAAATCCATGGATACACATAATTTTAAAAATAAAATGTAATCTTCAAGAGAGGTGTGAATCGCTTGTTTTCAAATTCTGAAGTCTTCCTCCTCTTATCTCAGTTGATGCTGTTATTCCCAAGGCACAGCTGATCCACTCCCCTTGCTTTAAAAACCTAAGTGAGCAAGGTTAAGTGACTTATTTAAAGTCACACAATAAATTCAGGATGTAAGATAACTGCACAAGAAATTCTTTCCTTATTTGCAGAAAGGCTTAATCATTTTCTTTAAATAGCCTCCTCCTTAACTTGGAAAAGCGATACTTTCATACACAGTACAGGGTGGGATTGTAATCGAAACTTGGGTGGGGAGAATTCCAGAAAACCAGCCAGCAAGGATGACAGTGTTGGAGCCTGACTTGAGGGTCAAGGGCAGACTGCTCCCACCTGCTTCTTTGAGGCAGCCTTGCCAGTCGCTGCAGTCCCTTGACTCAGCCCACCTCCTGCCCATCAGGAGGCCCCGGGAAGCCCCTGACTCCGAGGCCTTGTCCCAGGACTCACGGAACTCGTGTCCTGCTGCTTCATCCTCCTTGTCTCGGGGTCGCGGCCCCTCGGGCTTCGGCGTGAGAGTCAGGCCTCTCCAAGGCCCGGCGGCCGCGCCCCTCAGGTCGGCATGCAGCCCCCGGGCGGCCCGGAGCATCCGCGCCCTAGCCCCGCCGCCCAGGCCGCTCTCAGCGGGGATCATGCCGCCCGTGGGCCGGCGAGCTCCAGACCAGGGCGCGGCAGGATCGCAGGATGGAGTCGGCGCTCCTCTGAACCGGTTGCCAGCAACAGGCGGGTGATTCTCCAGCTCTACCTGGCTCAGGCTGGCCTGCGGAGTCCGCCTTCGGGTGTGGCATGCCATACCCCTAAGAAACATCTAGCAATCTACAAACCCTCAGAAATTCCCAGTACTCCATCAATTTTGTACAATTTTGAGAATGTCTGGGTTTGGTTTATAGCCAACACTCACTACTAGAAATTCAATATTAAATACTTTCTAACTGGGTTTCCAGAATTTTCTCTTGAATAAAATATGACTCAATTTCTCATTTGACGATCTGCATGAGCATCTTTCCTGGTTGGTTCTTAAAAAAAAAAATAACACAGAAGCAAGCAAAATTCTGACTTTCAAAATTAATTTCAAATAAAAGAGGTAACTTGATTTTCATTTAAATTTGTATTCTTTTTTTTAATGTGTATGTATGCAAATGCACCAGTGTTGTGCAATGCCCACGAAGGTAAGAAAGTGCTGGAGTCCCATTGAATTGGGGTTACAGAAGGTTGTTAGCTGCCATGAAAGGAAAAAGTATCATTATTTTATGCTTTATACCCTCCTAGGAATGTAGGGAGACTGACCCTCCTCTAGCACCCTTGAATGATAGATGTCCTTGCTTGAACTTCATTTCCTTGCTTTTCCTGACAGCACTGGTGAGATGAGAAGCTATGAAGTATAATGTGAATATTTTTTTTTCAAATAGCAAACAAATTCTCAACCAGAAGACCAGTTCTCAGTGTGCTGATACATGAGCATCCCTTGCCAGGTAGTTTGGACCTTGGGCTTTGCAACTAACCCTTCCCCCAACCTGTCCCTTTCTGGTGTTTCTGGCTGCAGACCCATTCAGTTCCTATTTCTCTTTCTAGAACCTCTCTCCCCCATTCCTACTTCCACATTTTTTTATGGTTTGATCCATCATATGATTAAGGGCTCAGATGAGGGCACTTCCTCAGAGGAGCCTTCTCTGATCACCCTATTCCAAAATATTATAAGCCACACCTCTTCCTCCACTCTCCATTTCCTTAGGCTGCTTTTCTGTACTGCAGTTGTTGCTGATGATAGCCAGTATTTTTGTGTCTAACATAAGCATCACAAACACAGGGGAGTTGTAAGCTTTTTCTTTGCTGTATCTTCTGTGTGTACAGAAGTATTAGGCTTGAGCCAAATATATGTCAAATAAATATGGAACTCAATTCTGCCAAGGAACAGTAACCCATCTACGGTCTTGAAGGCTTAATTTCTTTCCTAAAGAAGGTCTCCACGTGGCTAAGGATAACTATGAACTGGGCCCAGCATGAAATCACCATAAGATTAAAAAAAAAATTGGTTGCGGGATTCTTTTTTTTTTTACTGTCATGTGTGCATATATGTATGCAAGTTTTGTATGTGTGTAAGCACATGTGAGGGTGTGCTCACATGTGTACAGTGTGTATGTGGATGCCTGGAGTTTACACCTGGAACCATCCTCAAACACTTTTCCACCTTATTCATTGAGCTGGGGTCTCTCAATCAAATCCAGAGCTTGCAGATATGGTTAGCCTTAGTAGTTAGCTTGCTCTGGGGATCTGGTCTCCACCTTCTGATGCTGAATTACAAATTGACCACTACTTTCATCCATCATTTACATGGGTTCTGAGGATCTGAACTCTGGTCCTAAGCTTGCCTTTTGACCACTGAGCCTTGTTGAAGGAGTCTTTATCCTTAACAACATTCTTAGATTCCTTCACTCTCCTGTCAGATACTATCACCCTAGATTCCCATTTCATATATATTCACCTATTATACCCCTTTTCACACCGAGACGACACCGTCACCTGGGTGGTTCTTCACTCTTTGTGGATATAATAATGTTTATGTTCTATATCAGCTGGGTAACAAGAAAACCCAAGTGTCTTATGGGAATCTGGGAGCATATAGGCCTGGGTTGATAATGATATCTCTGTTCTATAAAGTCCTCAGGAACCAGTTCGCTATGCCACCATCTTTGGGCACACCCTGGCTCAAGGGTAAGAGAGTATTTGTATTCAGGTAGTGGGATAAAGGGAATACACAGGGAGCAAAGGCAAAGATGCCGGAGCTCCAGGAGCGGACATTTCTTCACGTAGCCCACTGGCTAGCCTTGAGTCCTACAGCAGATGACACCTGAAAACAAGCCTATGAGGCGAGTGGAAAAGGTCAAATCGTCTGCCTGGACTGGCGCTGGTCCTCTCCAGGTGCTGTGCATTTGCTTCTGTGCACTAATACCGATCTGAGAGCACTGGAACTTTCTTCTAAAGCTTTTCTGGATGACAGAATTCAGTGGATTCAGACTACAAACCTGCATGTGTGGTGGTTTGTGGTAAACACTCTCAGCAGGAGCGCCTCCTTTCAACATCCAGTGGGCTTGTCACTTGGCTGCTTCTTTCTCCAGAGGATTCATTCCTCATTTACCCTTGTTCTGAAGGTATAAACTTTGGTTCTCTGTCTTGATTTTTTTTGCAGTGGTGACTCACCATATTGGGCATTATTTCTTATTTATTTAGCTTATTATAAAATAGAGAATTTATGAAAATCCACTAGTCTTTTCTGGTTGGATCATAGGCCCAGCTAAAATTCTAAAAGAGAAAGTAGAAGCACACTAGAACATCTGTCTCGAATCTCTAGCATCTAAGCAGTGTTTGATGAATGGATTACAAGAAATAAAACCAAACCTTTGCACATCTCATTCATGTGGATGATTTTGGAGGTCAAAGGGGGAAGGTTAGCATAGTCTGGGAGTCTGGGAGTAAAGAAAACCTTTGAGCTCTCATAAAGCAGAACTAGATTTGACTCCAGACTGCCATTTTTATTTTGTCTCTAATTTAGGACTCTCTCCCTACCCTCTCTATGTGTGTTGGAGGGAGAGGAGGGGAGGATCGCTGAAATAAATGTTAAGGACAGCAAGGCTGGTTGCTGCTAAATGATGATAAACATGATAGCAGCAGTTACAAAACGAAGACTGTCACAATCCCCTCATGCTTAGAAGGGGAACAGCGCAATATTATGGTTTCTTTGCGCAATGGAATTGCATTCCCATTACTACCTACCATAGTATCATGAGGTTTTTCTTGAACAACTGCTAATCTGGGTATGCATTATAAAGCAAAAGTGATTATTCCTTAATGACACAGTGAAAGAACATTTTTTTTTTGCCCCAGGGAAATAAACACCACCACTTTGTGAAGTACATGCAAATTCATATATTTATGTATGACTTGGTGCTAGTGGGAAACCCATTCAGGAACAATACATATCACTAATTTTCAAAATGGAGTTATAGTTAAAAAAACAAAAATTCAGCCTTGAGTCCCAGATAAGGATTTAAAAATAAAGTCTTTTCTAAAAAAACAAAACAGTCCTAGGATGACGGTCATTATTTTAAATCTTCATCCAGACACTTGCAAGCTACCTTTAAAAGACATAGTAATAAAAAATGTATAGAAAGCTACAGTTTAACTGCAGCCACCTACCTCAGCCACCACACTGATTTTCCAGAGAAGACTCCTGAGACAGCACTGGCACCACTCTTTGGACACATACTGTTCATGTACTTATGTGTCAACAAATGACCTTTAATACTACATGCCAGGTCATATACTTCACACTTGGAATTCAGATGAGAGACAACCCCAGATTTCTACTAGTGGACAATTTGGCAGGGGGAGACCTACACAAGAAAACCACAGCAACTAATGTCTTCATGGAGAAATAAGAACGCAAAGCAGTGGCTTGTCCCAGAGGGAAAGGCATCCTGTCCTGAAGGGCCTTTAAGAAAATTGAAAATGAGCAACTCTGCATGGAGGGAGTCAAAGGGCCTTCAGCAACACATTCTACACACAAAGAACAAAGAACCAAGATATCAGAAGAACTCCCAGTCTATAAACTACAGGCTATGTAGAGCGACTGCCTGGCCTTGAACAGCCAATGTTTGCAGTGCATGGTGGACAGTGATACATGGGAGCCACTTTGTATGTGTGTTTCAGGAGCTGTTATGTTTTCATTGATACAAGGGAGCCACCTTGTATGTGTTTTCAGGGGCTGTTATGTTTTTAGGAATTTTGTGACTGGTTGGCATTATATAACTTGAAATTGCCATGGTGGAGTTTTATACCACATAAAGTATTATGTACAGAAAGTCACTAACCTCTCCTTCACCACATCTCTCAATACTAGAGAGTTTAGAGCTTTTGAAAAAAAAAAATAACATGATAGTTTGAAAGAACCAATTATGGTTAATCCTAGAACTGATTAATCTTAGAAAAGGTGCACAAGATGATTTAGAATAGGGAAAGTTAAGAAATCAGTTGAAAGTCAAAGTTTAGGCAACTAATAAAATTTAACAATAGAAAAAGATCATGCCAAAGGCTCTACAAAGGTGGACAGAATTCAGGAATATATCTAGGGTTGACAAACGTAGAGGCAGAAAAAAGGGAGACAGGCGAAAAGAGAACCCACGGCAAATAAAGGCATTTTGAAATGAGAGCAGTAAAAGTATCTCATTAATTTCCCTTGCCTCTTACTTTCAACTTTCTTACATACCCATTGCCTACATTTTCTTAGCAGGTAGACCCTTCTTAAAACTGCACCATGGCTTCCACTACCATGTCAGTATGGAAACCTCTTACTCCTGAAGGTCGCTCTTCAGTAGGATTTTCAACCTGACAATTCTATGCTACATTAAAATCAAAGCACTTCTGATGAAATGATTTGGATTTACAAATAACTTCTTACACTACTGCTCTTCCTATTATCACAGAAGACTGAAGTAATATGTACAGCAATAATTACAGGAGCAACATAAAGACATATTAAAAGAGATCTTTGTCTCTCATTGAAGGACTGCACACATACAGGCAATCACTAGGCCTGCTTATGCTACTTTTATTATACTATACACTAATGATATATTGCAAATGCATAACTACAGGCCCATATCCTTAGTGGACATAAATGCAAAGATTTTCAACAAAATACTTGCAGACTGTATACGGCCACACATCAAAAAGATCATCTACTACGATCAAGTCGGCTTTATTCCATAGAT